ATTATAAGCTAATCCCTGGTACTAAAATGGGCTCTAATGGATTTGATCATGTATATATTGACAAGAAAACTGGTAATTTAATAATTTTAGAATCCAAATTAACCACTAAAAGCAATAATCCAACTTATGGAACAAGTGGTGGTCACAAACAAGGAACAAAAGAGTATGTAAATGACGTTGTTCAACGTATGAAAGAAAGTAACCAACCTATGACTAAAATTGCTGCCCAGTTAATAGAGAGAAAGGTTAGTGAAGGTAAGGTTGATTTTGTAATTCACCATACCAAAATGGAAGAAAATGGAGATTTTATGGTACTGGGAAATACTAAATTTTATAAAAAAGAGGGGCCAACTAGAGAGAATTTCGATATGGTGTCCTAATGAATAATTCTTTCATCACTAATAAATTTGCTTTTCAAACAATTCTGTCTTGCTTTATCATAAACATATCACTTTCCTCAACATGATTTATTGAAGATACTGGAATTATTGTCCATCTCTTTGATAAATCATTGAAGATTGAATTAGCTCACCAGGTCTCACATAGCTAACTAATTGCTTAGCCAGTTGTGTGTGATATTTGGTGAAGAAGGACTCACCCTTTAACTTACTTTCGGAGAGGATTTGTTCTAATCTCTTTATGACCAGATCGTTTGGATTACTCTGTGAATATTCAGTCAATCTAGAGAGTACAGAGTCTAATCCATTCTCATTGCCGAATTCATTATCAACTGACTCAAAAATCTTACTGAAGTCTGAATTGAACTGATCAAACTCAGCATTTGCTTTCTTTTGTTCCAGTTCATATAACCATTCATCATCTCTAATAGTATTCTTTCGTAAGAGTTGATATACTGTTTGAATTCGCTGAGAATCCTCTAGAATCCTCTCCACAGGTCTAAAAATGACAGAATCTTTGGTCAACTGTGCAGTAGTCTGATCAACAATAACTTGAACGTTCAACATTTGAGCAATTTCATTCAATTCCTTTGCTCTATTCATGACTGGACCCAAGGTGGCAAAGTAACGCATCTGCTTACTTCCTACATTTCCCATAATAGTGGGG